GGACGGAAGAGGAGGATGAGGATGAGGATGAGGATGAGGATGAGGATGAGGAGGAGGAGGAGGAGGAGGAGGAGGGGACGGCATCAACGCAGACCCTCGAAGGGGCTCAAGGAGAACAGAACGGTGGCGGGTGCGGCGAAAGGAGGACGAGGGTGCCCTTGAAAAACTGCGCCGGCTCTGCCAAACGACGCAACAGCAAGCGTTTTTCGAAAATGAAATCCTGGATTTACCTAGAAACGTTCGGAGTTCTGCGCGCAATTCTTGACTCGGCGCCGGCGCCGGCCCTAACGCGCTCCGTGGGGCAGGCTGGGGGGTCCAGCGCTGGCGCAAGAAACCCGCGCGGCCTTCCAAACGTATGTGCTAGCGTGTTGTTGTTCCCCACATGTTTCGTGGGGTTCGTTTCTCTGTCACACTCCCTCCTTCTCCTTCTCACATGCACTAGCGCTGACAGCGCACATACACACAGCACACCTACAGCACATATACACACAGCACACATAAACAGGAGAGGGATGATGCACATACGGCAAAGCGTGGCAGGCAATCTGACATCCGCACAACGCACAACACACACGCACACACATACAACATACCTAGACAACACACAAGAAGCAAGCAACACAGGCACTGCAACCACATTGAGACACACGTCCACATACAGCCGCACACACACACACACACACTTCATACGCATACACAAGACATGCGTACGCAGACCTTGGGACGCAGTGTGTGTGTGGCAGGCGTGGCATTTCTCTACGTCACATGGGGGGGACTCTTGGGGTGGGGGCGCTATGCGTTGCAGGCTCGCAGAGCGTGGCATTGCCTCGACAGCACAAGGGGTGCGCTGAGGGTTGGGGCGCTATGCGTTGCAGGCTCGCAGGGCATGGCAGGCGTGGCATTTCCTCGACGCAACAGGGGGTGCACTGGGGGATGGGAGCGCTATGCGTTGCAGGCTTGCAAGGCGTGACATTTCATCGACGGCACAGGGGGTGCGCTGGGGGTGGGGATGCTATGCGTTGCAGGATCACAGGGCATGGCAGGCATGGCATTTCCTCGACGCCACAGGGGGTGCGGGGCGTGGTATTTCATCGACGGCACAGGGGGTGCGCTGGGGGTGGGGATACTATGCGTTGCAGGCTCGCAGGGCACAGCAGGCGTGGCACTTCCTCGGCACCAGAGGGGGTGCGCGGAGGGGTGGGGGCGCTATCCGCCCTGGTCGTCCACGGCACAGCAGGCGTGGCATTTTCTTGACCACCTAGCATCATCCACGTATGGTGCACGTCAGCAATGCTGAGGCAAGAGTTACGACGAATCATGTGGGGTTCCTTGGTAGCGAAATTTGAATCTTTCGGGATGCGCAGGGGGCCAGACACGAGGCGAGGAGGAGGAGGAGGTTGACGATGATGGGGGACGAGGGCGTGGGGGCGCAGGGGGACGGGCGGAGGATGAGGAGGAAGCACGTTACAATCGGAGGGTTCAAATTAGCGCAACATAAAAGGAGGAGGGGGAGGAGGAGGACCAGTGCAAACCCGAGAGCCATCACCGATGTTGGAATTAACCATCCTTCCAAGCTCCCTCTTCATAGGCCTCTACAACTGTTCATTTCCGTTGAGGGAACTGCCTCGTTGGAAGAGAACAGTTTAAAGACCTTGAAGCATGCCAAAACATTGTTCTCGGGATTTCCACGCCACGGATGAATCTGACTGCTGCGTCCTGACGATCTGGAATCGTGCCATAACGCCATGTTTGGGACTTCAGCACCGCGAACCAACATAACTGTTGCACCCGCGTCATCCCGAATCCTTCCACAACGCCGTTTCTGGTACGTTGAACATGGGAAACCGTGAAAATCCTGCAAATTTGAAATCCACATGTGCGCGGCGCTAAAACGAAGGCCACATTTTGAACAGGAACCGCCCTCAATCCGTGAAGCTATTGTAAATGTTTAAGACGAGTGTGCGCGGCGCTGAATCGAGAACCACAATTTGAAAACGACCCGCCCTCAATCCGTGAAATTCCTGCGAGTGTTAAGACGAATGTGCGCGGCGCTAAGGCGAGAGCCACATTTTGAAAACGACCCGCCCTCAATCCGTGAAGCTCTTGCATTGTTTGTTTGAGCGAATGTGTGCGGAGCTAAGGCGAGAGCCACATTTTGAAAACGGCCCGTCCTCCATCTGTGAAGCTGTTGCCATGTGTTAAGCTTCAGAGTCATAAGTGGTGAGGGGTCTCGGGCGAAACGCCCGGCCCGCCCTAAAAACTGGCCTTGGGGTGCGACAGGAAGAAGTTATTTATAAGGACAAGGAACGGAGGAGGATGGTTGGGCTGGATGGGTGATTGGCGGGGCCCATGTGTTTGACCTTGTGCCTCTCTCTCTCTCTCTCTCATCTCCCCTCTCTGCGATTACTCCATCTGGGTACTGCGCTCCGGTCTCCCCCGAAGATGGCTTGAGAGAGCGGCGCGGCCCCCGCACTACTCCCCGCTTCCTCCCCAGTGCGGTTCCAATCCGGACATGCCTGGCCCTTCCAAACTGGCGCTCCCGCTGCAGCGTTGGCCTCATTTCGGGGTCGGCGACCTCCCCTCAGGTTCCGAATGGCGGTCTCGCCCCGGCGCGGAACACATCTCTGGATCCGAAGGACGCCCAGTCGCCGTCGCCCCCTTCGGTCCCCCTTTCTCGCCTTCCCCCGGTCCTCCTGCTCCTCCTGCTCCTGCTGGTGCAGTTCCTCGTCGCCCTCCTTCATCAAACTTCTCCCCTGCCTCCTGCGGATCCTCCTGCTCTCCCGCCACCTCGATGCACACAACTCCCCATGTTCAGCTTGCACGTAGCACGGTGAGGTCGTTCTGGGCGTTCCAGGTCCGCTGTGACGCTATGGCACCCGCTGGCGGACAGATCAGCGGCCAGCGCGATGGGAAGGGCTGGGATGGAGGGGCAGAAAGTCAGATGGAATGCGAGCGTACCCAAATTGCCTCTCTTCTCTCTCCTCTCTCTTGTCTCTCTCCCCCTCTCTCTCTCGACCCACCCTCGAGAGACCTCATATTTCTCATCCGTTCCATCCTGCTCCTCTCCTCGCATGTGCTGAAGTTTTGCATGCCTGGCAACTCTGGTCTAGGTCAGGGCTGGCCACGGCCAAAGGATGCCCACAGATCGAATTCAGGCTCACACCTCCGACGTAGATGCCCGTCCTCGTCGTGATACAATATACCCATTGATCTCCATTGCTCTCTCTTCCCCTCTCTGTGTATGTCGCTGTCTCGTTCTTTCTCTCTGTCTCTCTCTCTCTCTCTTTCTCGCTTGCTGCTTGGTGTATATTCGCAGAAAAAGAACTCTCTCTCTCTCCTCTCTCTCTCTCTCTCTCTCTCCCTCTCCTCTTTCTCTCTCTCTCTCTCTCTCTCTCTCTCTCTCTCTCTTTCTCTCTATATATATATATATACATGTGTATGTATGTAAATATAGTGCTTCTCTCTCTAAACATATATAAACATCTATATATATAGAGAGAGAGAGAGAGAGATTCCTCTTCCTGTATGTTTATATGCACGGGCGGGGGGAAAACCCCTCACCCTCCCCCCCAAAAAGACCGGACTCCCGGGATCTGGGGCTTTGGGACCCTCCGGACGGGCCTCGAAGCGGCCCCCCGGGCCTCGCAGAGCGTTTTGCGAAGCCTTCCCAGCACACCTAGGGCGATCAGGGGGGTCATCGGAGACGCCAAAGAGACCCCCAAGACAGCACAAGAGCGCTCCAAGAGTGACCGACGTGACCTCAAGATGGCCCAAGAGGCCTCCAGGACGGCCCCAAAGAGGCCTCCAAGAGCACTCCCAAGAATGGCCCAAGGGCACTCCAAGGGCAACAATCATTGATTTTTGGGGTTTTTGGTGAATCTTGGGATTCTCCTCTTTTCGGCTTCCCGACGCTCTAAGACGGCGGTCTTGTCCGAAGCCGACTGGGAGGCTCCAAAATCGCCCCACAACCATCCGAAAGGGTTTCCAGGCAGTCCAAGAGAGTCCCAAAACGGCACAACACGGGTCCAAGATGGCCCTCAGAGAGCCCCACGGCTGCCCAAGATGGCCCCAAGACACCCTCCGAAGCATTCCAAATCGTGACCCGGTCGTTCAGGGAGACCGCGGTTGGAGGCAGGGTGGCCCGAGGAAGCCCCCAGAGGACCCCAGAATACGCCCAGGAGGCCTCCAGAAGGCCTTAAGAAAACCTGAAACAACTTTTGTGAGGCCCCCAGAGGCTCTCCAAAGAGGAGCCTCTGCAAAAAAGAGCTGAGGAGGATGGGGAGAATGCGCAGGGTATGGCGAAAATGAGGAAACAGAAGCATGGAGGAAGGATAACAAGTAACATTATTATAGTGGCTTCCGCTAAATTGTCGGCTTGACCTTCCTGCTATTCCGCCTGCATACCAAACTTCAAGGGCCAAGGTGCATGGCGCGAAGCGCCACTGCAGTCTTGTATCTATATATATATATATATATACATGTCTGTGTGTGTTTGTGTGTGTTTCGCTCTCGCTCTCGCCCTCGCCATCGCACTCGCCGCACTCGTCTTCTCGACATCGTTCTCCTCGTCGCCTGGCTTTGTCGCGAACCTCTGCCAGGTGCCTCCGTCATCCCTCTCGCCCTCGCCCTCGCCGTCGTCGTCCTCCTCCTCCTTCTTCTCCTCCTCCTCGTCCTCGTCCTCGTCCTCGTCCATGTCCTCGTCCTCGGCCTCGTCCTCGTCCTAGTCCTCCTCCTCCTCCTCCCTCCTCCTCCTCCTCCCTCCTCCTCCTCCTCTTCCTCCTCTCCCCCCCTCCTCCCCCCCTCACTTTTTTTCTCAATCCACAAATACTCCCTCCAGAACTGTCCTGAGGCGCGTCCCGACCTGGACTTCGGAGGGAATCCAGCCGTGGTGACGAGACGCCCCCCAGAGGCCCGATAGAGAGAGAGAGAGGGAGAGAGAGAGAGAGCTCTTTCCCCTTCTCCCCCCCCCACCCTCCCCACCCCCTCCCCCGCGTGAGGCACCTCGAGGTACGCCTGCATCTGCAGAAAACTGTCACACAACGATATCCGCAGGAGGTCCCTGCAAGGCGGCAGTGTGTCCGTGCCTCGGGAGGTGCTGCGCGGGGAGGTCGTCGTCGTCGTCGCCGTCGTCGACGCCGTTCTCCTCCTCCTCCTCCTCCTCCTCCTCCTTCCTACCTCCTCCCATCCTCCCCCCTTCCCCCCCCCCCCCCTCTCCTTTCCCTTTTCTTTTTTTTTCTTTTTTTTTTTTTCCCCTTTCCCCCCCACTTTCCCCTCCCCTTTTCCCCCATTTCCTCCTCCTCATCTTTCTCGTGGCCGTCCCGCTCATCCTCATGTTCATCATCTTCCCCCTCTCCCCTTCTCTTGGTGCTCCTCCCGCGCGCGCTGCTGATTCTCCTGCCCGTGCACCAGCTCGCAATCGCACTCCTGCTCCCCATCCTGCTGCAACTCTTCACTCGCAACTTGGTCTTGCAACGGGGCGTCCCGTCTTCCTCTTCGTCCACCTCGTCCTCCTCCTCCTCCTCCCCCTCCTCCTCCTCCTCCTTCTCCTCATCCTCCTGCTCCTCCTCCTGTTCGAAAGAAATGAGGAGAGACGGAAGAGGCGGAGGATGAGGCTGAATCAGACGAGGAGACAGAAGAAATTGCGAGGAGGAGTCGGGAGGCGTGCTGCGGAAAGCGCCCACTGCTGCCTAGCCTCTCTTTTTTTTTTTCTCTCTCTCTCTCTCTCTCTCTCTCTCTCTCTCTCTCTCTCTCTCTCTTTTCCCCCCCCCCTCCTCCTCCGCCTCTCCCTCCTCTTCCTACTCCTCCTCCTCCTCCATCATCATCGTCACCACGACCACCATCGTCATTATCATCATCATCATCATCATCATCATCATCATCATCATCATCATCATCATCAGCATCACGAACATCATCATCACCATCATCATCAACACCAGCAGTATCAGCATCACCACCACCATCATGTCATCATCATCATTGCCAGCATCATCACCGTCACCACCACCACCACCACCATCATCATCATCATCATCATCATCATCACCATCACCATCTCCATCACCGCCCCATCACCATCAGCATCAGCATCAGCATCATCATCATCATCATCATCATCATCATCATCATCATCATCATCATCATCATCATCGCCATCATCGTCATCATCATCATAATTATCATCATCATAATCGCCATCATCATCACCATCATAATCGTCACCAGCATCATCACCATTAACATCAGCATCACCATCAGCATCATCATTATCAGGATCATCAACACCACAATCATCATCATCACCATCATCATGATCATATTCACGACCATCATCATGATAATCATCAGCATCATCATCATCATCACCACGATCATCATCATCAGCACCATCAACATCATCATCATCATCATCATCATCATCATTATCATCCCCATCACCATCATCATCATCATCATCATCATCATCATCATTATCCTCATTAGCATCACCATCATCACCATCATCACCAACCTTACCGTTATCATTATCATAACCAGAATCATCATAATCATAATCATCATCATCATCATCATCATCATCATCATCATCATCATCATCATCATCATCATCATCATCAGAATCATCATCATCATCATCATCATCAGCATCGTCCGACTGCTGTTGCACTCGTCCTTCTCCCTCCTCACCCTCATCCTGCTTCTCCTGGCATTCTCCTCGTGGCCATCCTTCACCCGAAAACCACCCGCCCTCCATCTGCAAGCGACCCGCCCTCCATCTGCAGAGCGGCTGCCAGCTTCTCAGCTTCAGCACCATAAGCGATCAGGCTCTGAAGCCTCAGCCAAAGCGCACGGCCCGCCTTTCCGACTGGCCTCGGGGTGCGACGGGGCGGAGCTATGAGAGCGTTTCTTTATGTTCGGCGATGACGGGCGTCATGGGGGGGGGGGGCGGGGGGGGTATGACGTAAAGACCCCCCCCCCCGCTGTGTGGTTCCGGCACCACAGCCGCGCCCGCGCGCACGACGCGACGAGCGACGAGCGACGAGCGACGAGCGACGAGGACGACGACGACGACGACGACGAGGACGACGCGAGCAACATGCAGGTGGCGATATGCCCCACTGCGCCTGTGTACACATCGCTCGCGTGCACCACAACGCGCGCGAACACCACAACACCTGCGTACACCGCAAGAACCGTGTGCACCGCAGACGGCGGAGGACTGGACGGCGCTGGGGCGAAGCTTGCCCAGCACCCCCGGCGCCCCGGGCGCACAACCCGGCGCGGCGCGCGCGCTGGCGCGCGCGCCGGCAGGGAGCCAGACCCCCGATCGCCGCGATCTGTGTCGCAACGTCGACCCCCGGAGGTCCTGGACCCTTTCCCCAGGACCGGCTTCCCGTCCCGAGTCGTTATTGGACGGCCCCGGGGCCCGGCGAGGGCCCCCGAGGGCCGAGAAGAGGGAAAGGCAGCCCTCCGCGAGAGGCCGCCGCGCCCTCGTGCCGGGAAGGCCACGCGAGGGACCTCCTCCTCCTCCTCCTCCTCCTCCTCCTCCTCCTCCTCCTCCTCCTCCTCCTCCCTCCTCCCTCCTCCCTCCTCCACTCCTTCTCCTCCTCCTCCTCATCCTCCTACTGCTCATCACTCCTCCTCTCTCTCCTCCGTCGTCCCTCCTCCTCTCCCTCCTCCTCTCCTCCTCCTCCTCCTCCTCCTCCTACTGCTCATCCCATCCTCACTCCTCCCCTCCTCCTCCCCTCTCCTCCTCATCTCCTCCTCCTCCTTCCTCCCTCCGCAAAGACCTCCCGTCGCGGAAATTTTAAGCATATCACCTTAATCATCAAAATATATTTCTTCGCAGCGCGAGCCGAGGCCCGCGCCGGCGTCCTGCGGGTTCTGCGGGCTCTCGGCGGCGGGCGCCGGAGGGGCGGCGGCGGCCTCTGCGCGCGGGGGGCGGGGCCGCGCGCCCCTGCGGGGCGGCGCTCGGCGGCCCCTGCGGCAGAGAGGGGGGAGGAGGAGGAGGAGGAGGAGGAGGAGGAGGAGGAGGAGGAGGAGGTGGAGGAGGAGAGGGGAGGAGGGGGGAGGAGGAGGAGGAGGAGGAGGAGGAGGAGGAGGAGGAGGAGGAGGAGGAGGAGGAGGAGGAGGAGGAGGAGGACGGACGGAGGAGGAAGCGGTTGTGAGGAGGAGGAGGAGCTCAAGGGGGAGGGGGGGGAAGGAGGAAGGAAGGAAGGAAGGAAGGAAGGAAGGAAGGAAGGAAGGAAGGAAGGAAGGACGGAAGGAAGGGAGGAAGGAAGGAAGGAAGGAGGAGGAGGAGGAGGAGGAGCCAGCGTCCTTCGGGGCAGTCCTGCTTCCGCGAGTATGCGGGCCACCGCGCGCCCTCTGAGGCACTCAGGGACACGGCGTCGCTGGCGACAGGTTCGCGTGCAGCCTGCATTCGTCTCAAGTCAACATTCGCCGTCGGAGAAGTAATCGGAACCGCCGCCCCCCATGGGAGTATAATCGACATGAGGCAGGGCCTCATGAAACACAATCATGACACATGAATATGTCGTTCAGCGACTCACTGCCTCAGTGAGGTACAGTCAACCAGTGTAGTACAGATGCGCGATAAGGATGCAAGGGCCTTGGAAACTGATTTCGAAGTCTTCCGAGCGGTGCGCGATCGATAACGAACGTGGCCAAGGATGGACCGAGGAGGCAAGGATGCAGGTGTACCCTTGGGAAGGTTGCCCATCCTTACTATGCGGGTTGACTGTAGCCCAAGCTCGCGCAGCTGCGAACCTCGGACTTGAAGAACTTGGGATCGAAGGGATCCTTGTTTAGCAGATCGGCGTTGTACGCGACGAGTTGGGCAGGACACTCGAGAACCTCCTTCGCCGCGCCCTCGCGGCACATTGAAAGACATCGCCACCGCACCGACCTTCATCTCGTAGAACACGGTCGTCGAATTCCTACAAGCCCGCACGCCATCGGCACCCGAGATGAGGACTCCGCTGCCGAACGCGACCTCCCGCAAGTGCAAATCAGAAGAGAAAGAACATGTCAGCGCCACGACGAGAAGCGTCAGCCTCTCCGTGAGCTGCCGCAGGGCAGACTCGTTGCCTTGGGACCGCACGTGGGTGGTGAGCTGAACTTTGCGTACGTGTGCATGTGGAACAAGACCATCCAATAGGTCGGAGAACTTACGGATCTGCCAGGTTGATAGGTAGTACGGTTCGGATGCCGCCGTCACGTCGGAGGCGCCAGCGTGCTGACTGGGTGAAGATGTCGTTGATGCTGCAGCGCGGTCGTTGGAACCCCCCGCGGGTACGCGAATGGTCTGAAGGACACGCCAATTTGCTTCAGCTCGTTCAGCCGAGCAGTCACTGCAGAAGAAGCCGCTGCTTGAGCACGCAAGTCGGCAATAGTGCGTCGGCAACGCGCTAGCTCGCCAGCTTCAGGAGAGCACAGGTCAGAGACAGTAGCACCATGAGAGGACGGGCCCCTCGTAAGAGCGGACTTGGCACGGCTAGACGTACACTGCCGCTGCTTGTAAGTCGACAGCGCCTCCAAACTATTGAGCGTCTCCTCCCTGCTGCCAACCTGAATGCAAAGATTCTCCAGCACGGAGGGCTCCGGCTCGTACGCGACCTGCTGCGCTAGGAAGGCGATGGTGTCGTTCTGGGCCTCGATCAGAGATCCTGCCGCGACCAGTGTGGCAGCAATGCCATCCGGGCGGGCCACGGCTGCCTCAAAACACAGCTTCTGCGGTGCCGGGGAAGCCGGAGTAGTTGCAAGGTTGTGCTCCCGCCCACAACGGGCAAGCGCCAAAATCACCACCTGGGTGAAGAAGAACACCTGGCTATTGAGCACTTGACTGAAGAAGAACACCTGGGCTTGAGATCACCTGGCCGCAACGCGCCATCTAGAAGCGGAAGAAAAGCACTGGACTGTTGAAGACCGCCTGGCTGTTGAAGATCGCTTGGCTGTTGCTGGGCATCCGGCTGTTGAGAAGAACCGCCTGGCATCTGAGGCGCACCATCTGGCAGCGGAGGGACACCAGAGGGATCACCAGGCACCAGAGGAGCCCCCTCCTCCTCCTCCTCCCCCTCCTCCTCCTCCTCCTCCTCCTCCTCCTCCTCCTCCTCCTCCTACCCCTCCTCCTCCTCCTCCTCCTCCTCCTCCTCCTCCTCCTTGGGCTGGTGAAGACGATCGACTGGAAGATCACTGTCGTCTCCAGATGGATCCGCACGAGCGCCGAGCAGAGCCGTGCGCAGACCGCGGCGATCCCCACCCGAGCCTGGGCGAGCACCGGGCTGATGAAAAACACGTTGAAGAAGAGCGCGTGGTAACTGGAGATCACCAGGTAGTTGCAAAACACAATCTGGCTGAGGATGGGGTGCAGGCTGAAGAACGCCTGGTTGTGGTCAAGCATTCTGGAGATATCCCTCACGAAGACCACCGTGCCGAGGGAGACGACCTGGCTGTTGAGGTACGTCAGGCCATTGACGAGCACCACCTGGCTGCTGAAGAGCACCTGGCTGTAAACGGACACCGCCTGGCTACTGCAGAACATCGGGCTGTAGGTGATCCTCTGAATGCGGTCGAACAGCATCGGGCAGGCAGGTATCCGCCCGGGCGTCGAGCATGTGTAACTTGTTTCGCTCTCCAGGTGAACGAGAAAGTCCTCTAGCTGCTTGTTCGCTGCGGTCTGCTGCGCACCTAGCTCCTTTCGCAGCAGCACCTGCACGTCAGAGCGAATCGCATCTGCCATATCACGTTTGCGTCTCGGTTTGCGCTCCACGGCCGCCAGCTGTCCCTGCAGGGAACCGCACCCTCTGGCGAAGGGCTGCGCCAGGGTCGCGCTGCCCGCGCGCCAAAAGAGCTCTGGACTGGCATGGTGAACGATAGACGATAGGGCTTCGCGACGCACATGTCCTCGGAGGAGGAGGGGGAGGAGGAGGAGGAGGAGGAGGAGGAAGAGGAGGAGGAGGAGGAGGAGGAGGAGGAGGAGGAGGGAGGAAGAAGGAGGAAGGGAGGAGGCGGAGGAGGAGGAGGGAGCAGGAGAGGAGGAGGAGGAAGAGGAGGAGCAAGGAGGAGGAGGAGGAGGAGGAGGAGGAGGAGGAGGAGGAGGGAGGAGGAGGAGGGAGGAAGAGGAGGAGGAGGAGGAGAGGAGGAGGAGGAGGGGAGGAGGAGGAGAGGAGGAGGAGGAGGAGGAGGAGGAGGAGGATTGGAGGCAGGACGGAGCGTGGCAGGTGAACCTCGGGCGTCGTCCGCCGGTTCCCAGTGAAGAGGTAGAGCCGAGCCCGAGGGAGCCCAGAACGAATTGAGCACGCGCAGCGCACCTGCGAGGATGCCCAGGTGAACGCTCGCCCACTGCGGCGCCGCCGCAGTGGTGGGGAGCTCGCTTCCAGAGATCGTCGTCACTACCAGCTGGAAGCACATCTGCACGCGGGCCGCCATCACTCGCACAGAGAGGAGCGGCAGGGCACAGCAGCGCATGGAACAGATGGAGGCGACAGACATCGCGCGCGTAGCTATGCACTAGGCTTCTACAAACCAGCGACTTGAGCCAAAATTACTCGAGGCAATATGGCTACGGACGAGGAGGAGGAGGAGGAGGAGCAGGAGGAAGAAGACTCACCCGAGGATTGCCCCAAGCCGGATGTCGGGCCACGCTACATCATCAGAACATCTTGAGTGGCTAGGGGGGGCGGCTACGATACGATACGCACACCCTTAACGCCATGTTGTCTGGTAGTCCAGTGAGTACTGTACTCACTCAATGTCAAAATCGCGCAGCAGTGGGCCCTGAGAACATTCAAGACTGACTGGAGGCATCGTGGCGCGGTGAACCTTCCCTTTGGAGTGAGTGCCGATGCCGAAGCTCTACGCACCAGGGCCGCAGACAAGGCCCCGCACGGGGCCGTCCTGGCCCCTGCAGCCACCGACGCATGAGGTAGCCACAGGGGATTGTGGTGACTCTAGATTCAGGGTTGACCTCTTGCTTTCTTAGCAATGTCAAGAATGTTTCTACTGCTAGCGAAAACCGAAAACCTCTGAGACCCTGGGTAGATCCCTCGAGAGGCCAAATATTCAGTAACTATCTGCTTTTCAGTGCGAGGAGGAGGAGGGGGAGGCGAATGACTCACAGGAGTGGGCGGGGGCACAGGCGCGGGCCTACTAGAACTCGAAGCTGAGCTGGCCCCCGTTGGTCTCGACGGAGTATCTTGTACCAAATCGCATATATCGGGTATTTCCAAAATGATGTCCGAGCGGTCATGAGAGCCAGTCAACAAAATGCTCGGCCATGCCGAGCTCAGACCAATCTCAGGTATATTAGCTCGCACTTGGTGATTCACTTCAGTAGGGCCTCCAGGAAGGTCTGAATCTCCCGCTCCATGAACGATGCTGGGGCTCTGCCGTACTTGCGTGTCGTCTGTGGCACTTGGGAGAGGCAGGCCAGTAGAATGCTGCGGAACTTCGCGTCCCTGGTGGCGAAGGTGATCCTGCGACGTTCCTTCTGGAAGACCTTGTCCTGGCGGCAGAATAGAATTAGCTCGCACTTCTGCTCGACTGAGTACCCGTCGTACTCCTTCCATGCTGTCGCGAGGTCGGTGTTGTTCTGGGCTCCGAGGCTGTCCCCGTACGTCATGAGTCCCTTGATGAGGCCGCCCATCGCATATATGTGCGGAGGTCCGAGGGTGTGCTCTTTGCCCTTTGACTTGGTCTCGGCGGCGTAGGCCACGGTCTGTTCGCTCATCATCGTGATGAATGCGACCGTCATCGGGGCGATGAGAGTGTCGAAGATGACCCCTGACATGTCGCGGCACTGCTGGCTGAGCCTGAGGATCTGCTTCAGCATGAGTGCGAAGAGCTTCTTCTGCTTGTCGGGGATCTGCTCGGCGATCTGCTTGGACTCTTCCTTCGTGCCGCCCTCGGTGCGGCCCTTCTTCCTCTCGTCGCGAAGGCCCTGGCCCCCGTCTCCGCCCGAGCCCGCTGCTGATCCAGTCAGTGCCGCCAGGACGCCAGGCATGGTAAAATAGTGTCGGGAGAGGTCTGGGTAGATGCTCGTCTTGCAGGTGGCGAAAGTAATCGATGCTCGATGGAAACACTACGGAACTCGGGCATAGAGGACAGTTCCATTCGTCTTTCTGCTCGGGTTCCCAAGACATGTGAGTTCTTCCCATTAGACATCGGCCATATCCATAAGAATGTTTCAGATGTTTGCGAGCATTGTGTACATCTCTGAATATACTCATACAATTTGGGCACTGGTTCGTGATGACTCCACTATGAAGTATATATTTCATCTTATGTCCATTTGTTTGGTGTCCCATGAGAGCCCTGTAGGTGTCGAACTGGAGGCCACATGGGTTTCCCTCGGGGTCCGTGATCATGCATGTGTATACGTGTTCGCTTTTGGCTTCGGGGTTATGTACTTCGGGGAATAGAGTACACCATTTGTCGTAATCCGTGAACGCTGCTGCTCTCAAGATCGAGGGGTCAATATTCAGAAACTCCTGGAACGAGTCAGAGTTGGGTTCGAATAGGGCTTTCCACGAAAACCCAGCCGCCTCCCAAGCCTCGAAGAAACTCTCGGTCCCACTGATCCCCTCGTAAAGGTACAGGCTGCGATGAAACTCTTTTGCCCAGGGATTCGCGTCGATGCTGAGCTGTCCGTCTGGCAACAGCGTCGGTCTCTCCTTCTGTAAATGACCGAAGATCGCCGCGATCGTTTGGCTGTGGGCGCGACGGTGGGTGAGCATGCCTTGAAGCCACCGAATCCTGCGCACCGCCAGTTCCCCCCGAGCAGGGAGGATGCGAAATCTGTAGAGCACCTCTGAATTCCGAAGTGTGCGAACGTGTGGCCCATCGTAGGAAGTGGCAGCACCCCGCAACAGAACTCTGAGGTATCTTACAGTACAGGAATCTATCTTCTGATACTCTGCTGGCTTAAGGACAAATGCTTCAAGACCCGTGATGCCACTTTCCACGACTTTGCCAAGAAAGAGCTCGCGCTTAAGTCGATGCAACCCACGCTCGTGCCAAAATAGACCTATGACAGACCAGCCCGCGTGCATAGAGCGGATTCTGCACTGTACCTCTGGAGCATTAGAGCCATTCATATGATGTCGAGCTCCCAGATGCCTAGCATGACTGCGAACAGTGCCACACGACTCAGGGCAAATCTCCTGAAGGCGACGGTTTTCTCGTGTGGATCCCAGGCAGGGTATGATGTCTTTCTTTTGCATGTTCTGCTGAAAGCGCCATTTTCCCAGGACCTGATTCATCTTCGAGCCGCCTTCTCGGATTGCCTCTAGAGCCTCAGACGCCGAGGGATCTTCTAGAATGCGTCGCCGAAATAAATCATCTGCAAAACCTACCATTGAACAATCTAAAGCCGTGTTGCCAAAAACTCCTGAAAGATATATGGGGGTCCCGTCGATCTCGATGAGTTCGTCATAGCACTGGTCGAAGACGCCGACGAATTGTCGAGGTGCCTCACATGACCCCTGGAGCCCCCCATTCCTGGTAATAAATGCTTCGGGCTTGTTATCTACTTCAATTAAAACCACACTGTTGATCAGGCGCTGCTTCGCGAAGTCCTGTAGGTCCTCGCGCACCATTACTTCGGAGGTATGGGTTAAAAGATCCTCCGTGGATGGACATAAGAAAGCGTTCGTCATGTCGTGAAGCTCGCATACATGGGGGATCCTGGCTTTTCGCAGAGACCAGCCTAGTCGTAGTTGTACTAGTATGGCCCCCTCCCTCCTCCGATACTTCAGAAATCCATGCCATCGTCCCGAAAACGATTTGTCATATGCCTCATCTTTATCCCCCCAGCTGTATAGTACTGAATACCAATATTTCCAAAACACATCCGATAAATGTACTATCCTCTGGCTAAACATGTTAGACTTGCCGTTAGACTTGTCAAGCAGGATCCCCTCAGTGATACTAGACTTGGTGGGGGGCTGCCCCACCTCGAAAGACCGAATCAGAATATTTTCAAACTCCAGGCGTGCTCTCGTCATCTCAGCTGTTGTAGCCAAGATGTGTTCACGTCCGTCAGGGGCTCGTTGTTCTTCTGAGGCTTCCCGTCCTGAATCGAGCGTGATTGGCTGCCCTGTCCGAGGTTCAGGAGGGGGAGGAGGCTCGGCTGGTACCTCCGATTCCGCTGCATGTGCGTCGTGATCGAGGTTGTCGATCTCTGCGAATGGGTCAGCGTCATCCTCGTCGGCGGTGGTCCAACGTAGAGGTAGCCTGCCAGCCTCCGACGTGGGAGCCTGGTCCTGATGTTGTTTGTCCTGGGCCTGGGGTATCCAGCTGGGGGTCGTGGCGACAGTTGGCGGCGAAGTCTGCCCTTGATGGCCCAATCCTTGTCGCTCATCTGGTGCGTCGTGATGCACAGAGGTGACGCCGTACCCCAGGCCGAACTTGGAATGCCGCTGCTTCGAAAGATGTCCAGGTGCAAGTACTATTAATGCCAGTTCCGATGGTACACTCCACTTCGGCCCACAGCGTCTGCCACGGGCTCGTCTTAACTTCCAAATCATGTGTCGGACCATGACAGAGGCGGTGATCTCCATGCTGGTGTTGCGCTGCTTGATGACGGGTGGTTCCTCCGAGAGGAAGTCGCGGAGCATGAGATTCAAATCGGGAATATGTGTCGCTTCCATGCCCCCATCTGATCCGCGTCGTGCGAGATGTCCTTTCAGTTCATCCAGTGACGGCTTATAAGAAGAAATAGCATTGTAACGTCGGTTCTTCACACCAGTTGATCGTCCAGAGAGTAGGCGTGCAAGCTTGTGTACTTCGGCTTGCTGGCCCAAAGCTCGTGCCTCACGCAATTCTTGATGTAGGCGTTCGCGGTGTGCTGCTCGACGCCGTCGAGCCCAACGTCTGAGTTGTCATGAAATGCGTTTGATCTTAGCCAAAACGCCAAGGTACTCATCCGTAAAATCAGGAAGGTGTCCATATGCCTTCCAGTGCTCTGCTGCCTCGAGTCTGTAAATCTTGCGTTGTTTAACCAGGGATACACGTTCTTGTTGGAGTCGGTGTTCCGCTGCGTCGGTAGATCTATTCTCCAATGCGAAATGTCGAAGGCCGATCTGCTGTGCAATCTCCGCCCACTTGTCATAGAAGTCGTCCGTGTGCTGATGGCTCGTGGCGCACTCATTGAAATAGTCTGCTTGTGCCAGCATAGCTGTCTCCAACTCATGATGAAACTCCCCCCTCCCGATGCCCGTCTGAAGTGCTGTGGAGAGCTTCTGAAAATCCTATCTTGCTTTTGGAGCCAGTGGTGTCGGGATGGGGAGCTCATATTGCATTTCCAGGACGACAGGGACATGGTCGCGGGGGGCGCTCTTGGGGATCAGCTGGAGACTTCGACCTGCTTGCCATGCGACACTGCAGTGGCGAATCCCTGGCCCGAGACCTTTAGGAATGGCGAAGATATCCAATGTTGATGTGTCTCCCTGGGCCCCGAAATATGTGGGTCCTGCCTTTGGCCAGAAAGTCCCTGGTGACATCATTCCGAGATCGAGGAGCATGTTCGAACAAATTTCGCCTGCGGGTCCGTTTGGTCGAAGGTGATGGGGCCCTAGGAGGTCCTGGTCGAGATCCACGGGGGTGTCGTCTTCCCAGAGCCCAAATCCAGAATTTATATCCAAACCACATATCGGTGTACTTCTCGCTCGGGTTAATTCTAGTCGGTGTCGAACATGTTTCATAACTGTCGTGGCCGCCTGGATCTGCGCTCGTCTTTTATGTCCACTCGCATATATAAGTGGGGGGTATGCACATATAGCCGTCAAATCAATATGTCCACTCTTAATTCTGATTTCTCCATATCTGCCTGCAATACTTCGTGGTCCTGCCTTTACTGCATACACATGTTGTCGCTTCAATCTTCGTCCAAGTACTATGCATACCCCCGCGCTGTTGTTGCTGAAAGGGGCTCTCTGCCAGCCGAAGTGGATAGCTGTATATTTATTGCCAATATCTTCTGTGTGAAACTCTCGGCCTGTCCATTCCCTCACCCTCGTCCCTGGCATCATAATCAGGTCACAGTTCAGGGTTTCCGCGATCTCCCTGAGGCGGCCTGCGGGAACGAGGGAGAGGGGGTTGTAGAGGGCGACGCGCAGGAGGCCCACCATCAGCCCCCTGTATAGGCTCGCCAAATGCATCGGAGGCCGAGCCAGGCTGGTATAAGGTGGTTGAACGCTAAATCTCTCTGGGAGCGAGGGGGTCGCTGCCGCTGCTGAATGTGGGTTTGGGAGGAGATGGCAGCTAGGGGGGGGCGGAGGAGGAGGAGGACAAGTGCAAACCTAAGACGCATCAGCGATGTTGCAATACACCCTCCTCCCAAATTCCTTTTCCGCAGGGTCCTACACAACATGATTTTCAATGGGTGAAGTGCCCCATCGCAAGACAACCGTCTGGTTAGCCCCACTCGTACAAAAACAGCATTCCTGGGATTTCAGCGTCGCGAGTGGCATGGCAGCTGCGTCCTGGCTATCCTAAACCGTGACAGAACACCATTCCTGGGACTTCAACACCGCAAATGAACATGACTGCTGCGCTCCGACATACCTACATCTTGCCAGAACGCCAATCCTGGGACTTTGCCCATGCATGCTTGGAACTGCTCCGAACTTTGAAAACGAATGTGCGCGGCGCAAAGGCGACACGGATTAAGGGCGGCTGCTTGTCAAAAGTGGCTCTCGCCTTAGCGCCGCGCACACTCGCGTCAAACAGCTGCAAAAGCTTCACGGATTGAGGGCGAGTGGCTTTCAACATGTGGCTCTCGCAATAGCGCCGCGCACATACGTCTTAAACAATTGCAGGGGTTCCACGGATTGAGGGCGATTCCTTTTCAACATGTGTCTCTCGCCTCAGCGTCGCGCGCATTCATCTTAAACGCCATGCAAGAGCTTCATGGATCGAGGGCGAGTGGTTTTCAAAATGTGGCTCTCGCCTGAGCGCCGCGCACATTCGTCTTAAACAATTGCAAGAGTTTCGCGGTTCCCGTGACCAGCGTACCAGAAATTGTGTTTTGGAAGGATTCAGGCTTATGATGGTTCACACGTTATGCTGACTCGCGGTACTCAAGTCCCAAGAATGGCGTTCTGGCAAGATTCCAGATCGTCTACAAGAAACCAATCAGGTTGGTCCGTGGCGTTGGAATCCCGAGAACAATGTTTTGGCATGCTTCAGGGTCTTCAAACAGTTGTCTTCCAACCATGCAGTTCCTTCAATTAAACTGAAGCGTTGAAGGGGCCTCTGGAGAGGGAGCTTGGAGGGAGGGTGTATACCAACATCGTTGATGCCTCGTGAGTTTACACTGGTCCTCCTCCTCCTTCTCCTCCTCCTTCCCTTCGACGGGTAGACTGCAGCACCGCCACCAGCGACAGCAGCAGGAGCAGGAACAGCGGCCAAGAAACGAATGGCATGAGCTGGCGCCTCCGTCCCCTGGTTGGTCAGGGCTTGCAAGAACATCTTAGGCAACGCCTCCGCGGAGGGCAACGTCCGTGCACCACCCTCCCCATCCTCTTCCTCCTCCTCCTCTTCCTCCTCCTCTTCCTCCTTCTCCTCCTCTTCCTTCTCCTCCTCCTCCTCCTCCTCCTCCTTTTTCCCCCTCCTCCTCCGTCTCCTCTTCCTCCTCCAGAACCTCGTTCTCCTTCTCGGTATACGCGATCTTCTCCTCATTATCCTTCTCCTTCTCCTTCTCTTCCTCCTCCTCCTCCTCCTCCTCCTCCTCCTCCTCCTCCTCTTGCTCCTCCACCACCGCTCCACCGCGGGCCCCTCCTCATCTGCCGATTGGAGTAGCGGCGCGTTCCTTACCCGAGTCCGAATCAAATCACTCGCATCCTCTTCCCCTTCCTCCTCCGCCTCCTCCCCCTTCTTCCTCCTCAGCCTTGGCCGCCTCCTCCGCCCCCTCAGTCTCGTCCGCCTCCTCTCCATCCGCACGCCAGTAATTACCCCCCTCCTCCTCATGTCACCTCCTCCACAGTCTTCCCCCTCCACGCCTCCTCTTCTCCTCTTCCGACGCTTCCTCCTCCTCGCACGGAGCTCGGAAACACATCTCCTCTGCCCATCCATTTACAAGCCTCGGCCTGGGGCAATTGCGATCTTGCGGCGCGAGTAGCACGGAAGTGTGGCGGCAGCAGACGGACTTCGGCGGTGGCTGCACATGTCCCCTCCGCTCCTCCTTCCTCCTTCCTCCCTTCCTCCCTTCTCTTCTCCTCCTCCTCCTCCTCCTCCTCCTCCTCCTCCTCGATAAGGCTTCTGGCTGCGCACAGACAGCCCCCCAAGGTAGTCCCAGCTGGCCTCACCAGGGCCCCCGAGCAGTCCCAGCTGGCCTCAACAGGCCCCAAGAATAGCCCAAGGCGGTCTCAAGACCCCGACCCTGGGGCGCGGAGCGCTCCAAGGGCGCCGCCCGGGGGGATGCCAGGGTGTTGAAACCGCCCCATACTGCTCTGATGGCCTGTCGAGGCCGGCTGAGACTACTCAGGAGGGGATGTCTACGCGCAGCACGAATCCTCACCGCTCCCGTTATTCCTTCTCCTCATGATGATCCTCCTCGTCCTCCTCGTCCTCCTTCTCCTCCTCCTCGTCCTTCTCCCTCCTCCTCCTCCTCCTCCTCCTCCTCCTCCTCCTCCTCCTCCTCCTCCTCCTCCTCCCCCTCTTCCGCCTCCTCCTCCCCCTTTTCCTTCTCCTCCTCCTCCTCCTCCTCCTCCTCCTCCTCCTCCTCGTCTTCCTGCTACCACTCCGTCTCATACTCCTGCCACCTGCATTTTCGGAGGTCCGCGCGGAAATCGTGGGTCGGCACCAGGCACCCATCACTGGCGCGCGGATCGCGCCAGGGGCGGCGCCAGAGGCGCCGCCAGGGGGGCCCAGCGCCGACCCCAGAAGCCCGCGACCTCCAATAGTTTACGTTCAGGCTGATTTCCATGATTCGGAATACGCCGAACTGATCGATGCTGCTGCTGCTCGTCCAGGGAAGGCCCGACGAGCGCAAGCCCCCT